CCGTGCCGCACAGAGCCCAGGCCGCGGCCAGGGGCGTGGAGCAGTGCGGGGACTGTGCGTGTGTGTCTGTGTGCGCGCGCGCCGCCCAGCGAGCCGCCGGAGCAGGGCAGCCAGACGCGTCAGGGCTCGCAGGGTATTTGGGGGTTCACACGGGTGCGTGTCCAGCTGCCCGCGCGCGCGTATGTCTGTGTGTGTTTCCGTGTGTGTCTGTGTGTGGTGTACGTGAGGGCGCACGCTGGGGTGAGTATACGTGCGAGAGTGTGCCGGTGCGGGTACGTGTGCACGCCGCGTGCGCGGGGCGATGAGGAATGTATTCTTGCGGATGAAACCGTGTACACGTTTTTGTGCAGCTATGCGAGTGTGCAGGCGCGCTTCCCCGCGCACGCCGGGGAGGCCTTTGTGTGCGCGGAAGGTGAAAGCCGAGCTTCTGCCCACCCCAAGGCGGAGCTCTTTCAGGTGCCTCTGTTGGGGTAGGCATGCGGGTCGGTGGGAGACTTTGGGTGCCTGTCAAAGCCTTCGCCCTCTGCTCCACCCTCTCCCCAACCTAGCTCTCTGCTCTTCTGTAGAGATGACACCCAACAACCCAACGGGGACAGGAAGCAGGGTTGGCCCGTGGGGGTGGGGGTGGAAGGCAGAAGATACTGTCAATGCTGAGGAACTGAGAAGGAAGTGTGGGGGACTGGAGGGAGTAGGGTGAAAGTAGTGGCAGCCTGGAAGAGGAAGCTGTGAGAAGAGAAGATAAGGAAGGGGGCATCGAGCTGGCCTGCTGGCCTGCTACTCTGGGAGGCTGGCCTGGTGGGGTAGCATGATGGAAATCACTCTGGCCCAGCTCCACTGCCTGCCGTAGGTGACCCCTGACACCAGCCTTCTGGGAGCCAATCTCCAAACATGTAAAATGGGGAACTAATTCCAGCTTGCAGAATTGGTCAAAGGTGTTTGCTGGTTTCCCCTGAGTGCCTGACACGCAGTAGGTTCCCAGTAGATGTGAGCCCATCTTCCTGCAGGCCTCTTGGTGTCCTGTGAAATCCTGGCTGAGACCTTGCTTTGTCTGAAGTCCCTTCTTGTTTTTCAGGTAGGGGGAGAGTGTGAGGTCTTTCACTCCTGAGATTTGGCTAACTGGCCTTGATAAGTCCCTAAGATTGGCATATTAATGGGAAGAAAGGAAGTTATCACTTGCTCAGCTGCGATTGTGGGTCTGTAAACATCTGTAATTACACTCAGAAACAGTGCATGGTTATATATAGTCAGGTAAGGCTACCCCAGTAGAATCACTATAATTATGTTCAGATAGGCAAGTGGTTGTGGGGACAGGAGGGTACTGATAGGCAGGCAGGGTGCTCCAGGCTCTGGGCAATGTTAGGAGGGTGTGAATTAAAGCCCCAAACTCTCCTCCTGGCCTTGATATCTGGGCTTCATCCTCGGTCTCACAGGGGAAGGAGAGGTAGCCACCTGCTATTTTTGCTAAGGTCAAGGATCTTGAGAGGAGTACACCACAGTCCTGTGTGATGACAGGAGGTTCACTATGTGAGCCTGAGAGGACCCACCGGAATAGAGAGGCCAACTCCTGCCACTCTCTGCATCAGTTTTTCTACCTCGAAAACAGGTGTTCAACCAAACCACATGGTCTCCAGTGACTCTTCCCATGATGATGCCCAAAGCATTATTTGACTCAATATAAAATATAATGTTGTAAATTACTTCCAAGTAAAACAAACAGCCCGGGAAGATGCATCAGATGGTTTCAGGTAACTCCTACCTGCACACAGCTCTTCCTATCCCAGTTTGGAAAGTACGGCTCTAACATTCTTGCTACATTGAATGGATTGGTTGCCTATGGAGTCAACTTGTAGTATTTTAGGTGCATCTCCACTAGCCTATAAACTTCATGAGGGGTTGTATGGTGTACCTGGCACTACTTGATGCTTACAATTCTATGAGATAAATGCTCTTTTCCCTTTTTTATAAATGAGCAAACTGACAGTTGGAGATGTTAAGTAGTTGCCCAAATCCATAGCTTTCTCTGGACCTTGGCCTCTGACCTCCCCTCTTTGGGCCCTCCCCAAAGGGAGGCTAATATGTAGTAGAGCCAGAATGTGGCCCTTGATTTACTCTTTATTCAATAGCTTTGTTGAATGCATCATGCATGGTTCTAGGAATTTACAAATAGATCAATAGGACAAATGGAGCTGTTGTTCCAGTGAGGGATCTAGGATGGGGAACAAGAATAAAGGGAGTATTTTTGCTTTACCTGTCAGACTCTTCAGACAATGTTGTTACATATTCCTAGTATAATTAAAATTAATAAAAATGTAGTAATCAAAGAGACCTCTATAAACATAAACAATCTAATTTCAGGCAGTGATAAGTGTTATGAAGAAAATAGAACAGTGATGAAATAAAGCATGATGGGGCAAGTGTACTTAGAAAGAAGCTCTTCAAGGAGATGACCTCTGGGCCAAGACCCGCAGGTAAGGAGCCAGCATTGTGCAGTGTGTGGGGAGAGCCAGGGGAAGAGCTACCCAGGCAGAGGGCAAGAGCAGCAAGTACAGAAGCTGGGCCTTTCCTAAGCCTAGGAAAAAAGAAGATGCCTGGGTTTGGGTGAACAGGGGAGGAGTGGGGCAGACCACACAGGTTCTGTGGTTGGGGCTGAAGAGTTTAGGGAGACAGGGGAGGTCTTAGGAGATGAGTAACAGTACCTGCTTTACATTTTCAAAGGCCATTCTGGATGTTGGAAAGAGATGTCTTGGAGCCAGACAAGAGCAGAGGCAAGGCATTCCACTATTGCAGCAGGCAAGAGAGAGCAGATGGTAGTTTGGACTAAGGTGGTGGCAACAGAAATAAAGAAAAGTAAAGGAGTTCATATATATTTGGAGGTAGAGCCAACAGCACCTGCTGAGGGACTGACTGTGGACAGTGGGGGATCCAGGCTTATTCTGAGGTCTATTTGTTCTACCCTCTATGCAGGCCACCTCCCCATGCATTTCTCTAAGGGCACTGATGGTTGAGTGAACCAGAGGCTCCTTTTTTCCTATCTCAACCCCATTTGTAATATAGCCTCCACCTGAAAACCAGAATTTTTTCTAAAAATCTAATGGATTCTACTGCTGAAGCTGATAGGAGATGGTCATTTCCAACTATACCCCAACTTGGGCCAGTCACGTGCCTGAAATTTTACCACTCAGAATAATTTCTTACCAAAAGATAGGTAGTAGATAGAGAGAAAGGAAGTATTAGTCTTGCTTTATAGATAAGAAAACAGGCTCTAAGAGGGAAAGTGCCTAAGCCAAGGACATAGCAAATAAAAGATAGAGCTGTAGCTCAAACTGAAAGCCTTTGCTTAGCTGGTCAGGTAGGTGAATGTCAGATTGAAGTATAGGCAGGCAGATAGGTGGGCGGATGAGTTTTCCACATTTAACAAAGCATATGAGGCTGACTGATGCATGCCTTGGAGATGTTAAAGGTTAATAAACTAAGGAGCTTCCCCAGCTCTGCCCCAACAAGAAATCTGGATGTCATCCTTGACTCCTCGGTTGTTCCTCTCAATCCCATCAAGCCAGTCCATGATATCTACCTCCCAAGTGTCTTCCTATGAGGCTGGAGAGGTAGGCAGGAGCCAGACTATGCTAGGCCTATAGGGCCATGTTAAGGAATTTGGTCTTTATCCAAAGATCAATGAAGAAGCTTTGGAAGATTTTAAACAGAGCAGGGACATGCTCACGCATGCATTTTGAGAAGATGGCTCTGGCTCTGGCTATTGTGTGAAGAATGGATTGGACATGGGCCCGAGGGGATGCAAACGGGGAGACCAATTAGGAGGCAGTGTCGGCCGTTTAGGGGAGGGAAGATAACTGCATTCCAGGGAGAGGATATTCAACAGCTGCAAAGCCAGGGAGGAAGGAAAGGGCAAGACGGTTTGGAGGAATTCAGATGGATCTGTGGCCAGAGCGCAGAAGAGAAGAGGAGGGACTGGAAAGAAGAATGGGCTCATATCCTGAGGAAGCAGGCTTCCCAGACTGGTCAGCTCCCAATATGGCAGGGGCTGTTTTAGGTTCGTCTAACAAGATTTCTCCATGATGAGATTACTGTTATTTAACTATCGCAAGGTGGACAATTCAAGGTTCTCATTTATAATCAACAAAACCAGTACTGGCTGACTTAAACATATAAAGTATTGACAGGATATTCAGGTAGCTACTACTGCTGAATAAAGAACACCACAACTCATACCCCCACTATTGCCAGCACCAAACTTAGCCCCAGAAACTAGAAATGGCCACCACCACCTCTCACCAGAAAGGATTCTTTACTGGACCTACATCTTTGAGTCTAAGTCCCCCATGCAGGATGGACCTCGAGATAATCATCCTAAGCGAAATAAGCCAGATGGAAAAAATCACACGATATCACTGATGTTGTGGGATATAAACCTAAAAGCAAATGAGCAAGACAAACAAACAGAGACTCAGGGACATGGACAATGGACTAGTGTTTACCAGTGGGTAGGGGGTAGAGGAGGAGGGGAGAGGTAAATGGGGTAAAGGGTGTCAAATACAGTGGGGTAGCGGGTGGGTGAAATGGGTAAAGGGGATCAAATAAATATATGGTAGCTGAAGGAAACTGGACTGTGGGTGGTAATCACACAATAGAATATATAGATGTCAAATTATAATGTACAACTGAAAATTATATAATTGTATTAACCAATGTTACCCCAATAAACTTAATAAAAAAAAAATAAGTCCCCCATGCATCAAACTGGCTGAGCCTAGTCATATGCCTTTGCCTTAGGTCATGTGACTCTGCCCTTGCTGCAAGGACGCAGACACTGTATTGTTGACATTTATGATTTCCATATAGGACCTGGGCTTTAACTTACTCCAAGAATCATAGGGTAGAGAATTCCCCAAGCATAAGAAGAGAGTTTAGAGGCTGAGTAG